TAAAATTGTAAGTTTCAAGAGGAAATAACTCTTGAAAAAAGTTGCTAGAGTAATGATCCTTGTCATGCATGATGTGAGTAATGACAAAGAACAATTACCTTTCTTAATAACAAAGATAATACTAAAAAAAATCAATTTACAAATGAATTCTAAGTTCAAAAATTTAATGGAGATAATTCTGGGAATACATGAGCTTGCGTTTTATAACTCTTATCCATATGACAAGAAGTTAAACAAGAGGGCCATGATGGCCCTGAGGTCGCTCACCTGTATATAGCCCCCCCCCCCCACACACACCCATAAGAAGATGTTTCATGCTAAACATCTAAGCTCTAGCTCATTGGGCTTTTTAAAAGAAGATTTTTTTAAAGTTTTTACTATACACATATAGTTAAAAACAATGACACCCCTGGGGCGGGGCCAGTTTTGACCCCAGGGCTTTTATTTGAACAAACTTTGTAGACACTAACTAGAAGATGTTTCATGCTTAATATCTAAACTCTAGCTGTTTGGGTTTTTTCAAAGAAGATTTTAAGTTTTTGCTATACACATATAAGGAAAATCAATGACCCCCGGGGCGGGGCCAATTTTGACCCCAGGGCTTTTATTTGAACAAACTTTGTAGACACTCACTAGAAGATGTTTCATGCTTAATATCTAAACTCTAGCTATTTGGGTTTTTTCAAAGAAGATTTTTTAAGTTTTTGCTATACACATATAAGGAAAATCAATGACCCCCGGAGCGGGGCCAATTTTGACCCCAGGGCTTTTATTTGAACAAACTTGGTAGACACCTATTAGAACATGTTTGATGCTAAATATCTTAGCTCTAGCTCTTTGAGTTCTTTAAAAGAAGATTTTTTAAGTTTTTACTATATGCATATAGGGAAAATCAATGACCCCCTGGGGCGGGGACAATTTTGACCCCAGGCTTTTATTTGAACAAACTTGGTAGACACCTATAAGAAGATGTTTCATGATAAATATCTAAGCTCTAGCTCATTGGGCTTTTTAAAAGAAGATTTTTTTAAGTTTTTACTATACACATATAGTTAAAAACAATGACACCCCTGGGGCGGGGCCAGTTTTGACCCCAGGGCTTTTATTTGAACAAACTTTGTAGACACTTACCAGAAGATGTTTCATGCTTAATATCTAAACTCTAGCTATTTTTGTTTTTTCAAAGAAGATTTTTTAAGTTTTTGCTATACACATATAAGGAAAATCAATGACCCCCGGGGCGGGGCCAATTTTGACCCCAGGGCTTTTATTTGAACAAACTTTGTAGACACCTATTAGAACATGTTTGATGCTAAATATCTTAGCTCTAGCTCTTTGAGTTCTTTAAAATAAGATTTTTTAAGTTTTTACTATATGCATATAGGGAAAATCAATGACCCCCTGGGGCGGGGCCAATTTTGACCCCAGGGCTTTTATTTGAACAAACTTGGTAGACACTCACTAGAAGATGTTTCATGCCAAATATTTAAGCTCTAGCTCTTAGGGTTTTTTAAAAGAAGATATTTAAAGTTTTTCTTTCGGTTGCCATGGCAACTAGAGTTCTGCATGGAAAAAATTCTTTGAACAATTTTTAAAGGTGACCACCAAAGGAACATTCCTGTGAAGTTTGGATGAAATTGGCCTAGTGGTTTATAAGGAGATGTCATTTAAAGTAAAAGTTTACGGACGACGGACGGACGGACGCCGGACGAAAAGCGATCACAAAAGCTCACCCTGTCACTTTGTGACAGGTGAGCTAAAAATCTAAGTTCATGGGGAGATAAACCTTCTTCAAGGAATTTAATTCTTTAACAACTTTGGTAGAGCTTCATACAAGGAAAATACCTGCCAAGTTTCATTAAATTTGGCCAAGCAGTATTGGAGAAGTCATTTGAATGAAAAAGATAACTCACCGACGGACTGACTAATGACAGACAACGAACACGGTGTCACAAAAGCTCACCTAGGTAAGCTAAAAAGTTATAGTGAAAAAAAAAACTGCACCAAAACATTAATCTGAAATCTGGATGCGGATGTTGATGCCAGGGCTAAAAATAGAAGGAAAATTTATGTTCTCCCAGGGTGGAGCCAAATTGGAGCCAATTTATACTGCAGGGCTATTATTTGAATAATTTTTGTTGAGGTTCCCCTGACTACATTTTATGTTAAATTTAAGGAGATATTAAGTATTTGCTAGTATAAGGAAAATTTAGACCCCTTGAGCTATGATTTAAACAAACTTAGTAGAGGTATACAAGATCATGTTTCAAGGAAAAAAACTAAGCTTTATTTATTTCTTGTAGTTTGAGAGAAAAAATTGTTTTAAGTTTTTAATATCTAAGCTATTAAAGCCCCTATAGTTCAATAGAAAAGTTGTTTCTTTAGTTTTTTTACTATATACTAGTCCTTGCGCATTAAAGGAAATTCAATGATCCCCTGGGCTTTGGGCTTTTATTTGAACAGACTTGGTAAACACCTCTGTAAGATGTTTCATGCTATAAGCTCTATCTCTATTGGTTTTTTAAATGATTTTTATGCCACCGCAGCATCTGCGATGCGGTGGCATATAGCGATTCACCTGTGTGTGTGTGTGTGTGTGTGTTTGTGTGTGTGTGTGTGTGTTATATAGATTATATAGTGAACTTAAAAAATCTTCTTGTGCAAAACCACCAGTCCAATTTCAACCAAACTTGGCAGGATTGATCCTTGGGTAAAGGGCTTCCAAAGTGTTCAAAGAATTTAATTCCATGCAGAAATCTGGTTGCCATGGCAACCAAAAGGAATTATAAGAATAAATTTAAAAAATCTTCTTGTAAAGACCCAAAAGGCCTAGAGCTTAGATATTTTGCATAAGGCATTGTCTGGTAGACCTCTACCAAGATTGTTCAAATTATAGTCCTTGGGTCAAAATTGGCCCCGCCCCGGGGGTCATTGATTTTCCCTATATATACATATAGTAAAAACTTAAAATACCTTCTTGTAAAGACCCAAAAGGCCTAGAGCTTAGATATTTTGCATAAGGCATTGTCTGGTAGACCCTTACCAAGATTGTTCAAATTATAGCCCTTGGGTCAAAATCGGCCCTGCCCCGGGGGTCATTGGTTTTTTACTATATATGTACATATAATACCTTCTTGTAAAGACCCAAAAGGCCTAGAGCTTAGATATTTTGCATAAGGCATTGTCTGGAACACCTCTACCAAGATTGATCAAATATATATAGCCCTGGGGCAAAAATCGGCCCCGCCCCGGGGGTCATTGGTTTTCACTATATATGTACATATAGTAAAAACTTAAAATACCTTCTTGTAAAGACCCAAAAGGCCAAGAGCTAAGATATTTTGCATAAGGCATTGTCTGGAACACCTCTACCAAGATTGATAAAATTATAGCCCTGGGGCCAAAATCGGCCCCGCCCCGGGGGTCATTGGTTTTCCTTATATGTATATAGTAAAAACTTATAGTAAAAACTAAAAAAAAATTCTTGTAGCAATTGACAAATGCTAGAGGTTTGATATTTTGCATGAAAAATTGTCTGAAGGTACAAGGCTTAGAGCTTTAATATTTGTTTAATGATAACATCTATAGGTACTCTACCAAAGTTGTTCAAATTTTGCCTCTAGTGTCAAAATTAGCCCAGCTGCCCCAGAGGCGATAGTTTTCCTTATATGTAGTAAAAACTTAAAAAATCATCTTCTCTAAATTTACAAAGGCTAAAGTTAAGATATTTTGAATGAAACATTATGTAGTGAACCTCTAGCAATATTGTTCAAATTATAGCCCTGGGGTCAAAATTGGCCCCACCCCCAGGGTTCATTGATTTTCAGTATGTACATATAGTAAAAAATTAAAAAATCTTATTGTCTGAAGGTACAAGGCTTAGAGCTTTGATATTTGGTATATAATATCATCTATGGGTCCTCTACTAAAGTTGTTTTTATTATGCCCCTAAGTGTTAAATTTGCCCAGCTGCCCCAGAGGCGATAGTTTTCCTTATATGTATAAAGTAAAGACTTGAAAAATTCTTTCTTCTCTGAATTGAAAAATCTTCTTCTCTAAATTGACAAAGGCTAGAGGTTAAATATATGGCATGAGACTTTGCGAAGTGAACCTTTACCAAGATTGTTCAAATTATAGCCCTGGGGTCAAAATTGGTTCCGCCCAGGGGGTCATTAATTTTCATTATGTACATATAGTAAAAAAATAAAAAATATTTTTGCCTGAAGGTACAAGGCATACAGCTTTGATGTTTGCTATATAATATCATCTATAGGTCCTATTCCAAAGTTGTTCAAATTTTCCCCTGGTTTCAAAATTGGCCCTGCCCGGGGTCAGTGATTATGTACACATAGTAAAAATAAAACAAATGTTTTCTGAATGGGAGAAAGCTACAGCTTAGATATTTGACTTGAAATGTTATTTGGTGGACCTGTATCAAGATTGGTTTGAATTAAACCCTTGGGTCCAAAATTTTGCCTTGCCCAAGGGGACAGTGACCAACTTTCTTGTCCTTTAATGTAAAGCAATGAAATATTGACCATGTGCACAGTTTTAGTTGTAAAATTGAACTGTGATACCAGGTGACCTAGATTTTGATGATGTGACCTACTTTCTTGTCATTTGATGTACAGCTTTGAAATTTGAACCATGTGCACAGATTAAGATTTAAAGTGAACTTTGATTTCAGCTGACCTAGATTTTGACAAAGTGTCTTACTTGTGTTGTCCTTTGGTGTAGTCATGAAATTTAGGCTGTGTGAAAATATGACCTTCGCCACCAAAATTCACTAGACTAGAGTGCATTGATATATTCCTACTCTGAACTTTTATTGAGTTAACAACAGATTTAACCACTAATCTGATAATAAGAATTAGATAGGTTAGGGATCTATGCATTATGACAATCTTGAAAATTGTATAGAAACAAAAAAATCTGTTCCTACACTACTATTTAGTGTTGTATTAATGCGGTGGCATAGCATTTTTCACAAATGCAATCTTGTTTTTTTTAATTTTCTTTCGCTTGGCATGGCATGGAACTCAATTCTTTTAACAATTTTGAAAAATGACCTCCCTAGGAAAATTCCTTTAAACTTTGGATGAAATTTGCTTAGCAATTGAAGTGGAGATAAAAGTTTTCCAGACAGATGCCGGACAATTTGCAATAACAAAAGCACACCTTGTCACTTTGTGACAGGTGGGCTAAAAAGTAAAAAAAAACTATGCAAATCATTTGTTTACAAAAAATAAATCATAGGATTCATTTCAGCACACCTCATAAAGTCACAAGAATCAAATGAAGTAGGTCTATATGGTTTCTTTTATTGCACTTTGGATGTGAATATCACTGCTTAACTTTTCTCTTTCTTGCTGTTTTTCTTGATCTGAAAATCAAAATAGATGACATCTTTTAATAAAAACTTGTGAGAAGTATATCATACTTTACTTACATGTTAACCATAACTTCAGTATGTTAAACAGGGTAATATCCTTTACTTAAAGTAAAACTAAACTTCAGTATTCTTAGATAAGTTAAAGGAATATTGTACATGTAAAACTGAACTTCATTACATTAAGAGTATTTTATCTGTTACTAACATATTAATCTTAATTTATCACTATTGTGGCCTTCTTTGTTAGTATATAAGAGAAATCTCTCATAGTGTTAGAATAAACATTAGTACCAGGTTATTTAAAATCCCACCAGATAGTGATAGAGTTATAGTGTGGACAAGCTTTTTGAGAACATTTTTGCATTTAACCTTAAAGTATGACCTTTCCCTTTGACCTAGCAACTCGCTTCTTGTGCAAGACCTACCATCTCATTATTGTGAACATTTGTGTGAAGTTTTTGAAATTCTTCCATCTTATGACAGAGATAATGCCGATCACCAGCATCATTCTAGTCAGATGCACATACATACACTGAACTGCTATTGTGACAACTATGTGGAGCTCTTCACAAAAACTACACACTTTTTACTCACCCATCTTGCTATTGAAATTTCAAATATACAATTGCCATGTATAATTCAGTTATTTTACAATAAATGTTGGTAAAATATTTACGCAGAATTTCATTTCTCAACATAAAAATATTGTGCAATATTGGAAAAATAAATAACTTCAAATTTAAATGTGGATAGTGATATGAAGTGTAAAATAGATTGCCAGCAGTAGATAAAGGACAATGAATATGAATTATTGAGGGTTAACTCTTAGGTAGGGTTTTCAACAATATTGTTTTACGTTATTGGTACAGGTAACATTCAGAGTGCTGGGCTGGGGCAACACTCAAATTTTTTACTTTTTCTAAATGCAAACAAATACATGGTTAAAAAGGAGATTATTTTTTTTTAAATTCTGTTTTGAATTTTAACAGATCTGTCTAATCACACTTGTGAATTCTTTCCATAAATAAATGACAGAGTTAAGAAAATATAATCAAAATTCAATCATTTGATGGTCAAGGTCATTTAAAGGTTAAGTTTATATTTCAATAATTCCACATCTCTGTTTCATCACATTTAGTGTTGTTTTGTCAACATATGAATCAAATCCGTAAATAAATAACAAAATTATGTCCCCTTAACCAAAATTCAATAATTTGACCTCAACACTCAACATCATTTAAAGCCCAAGGTCAAGGTCAGTTCAACTGTTTAGGATGTCTTGTCCAAAATGTTGTTTTGTTCAAGTATGAAAATAATACATTGATTAATTTCAAAGTTACAGCCAATTATAGCAAAAATCAGTGAAAATAAAATAATTTGACCTTCAAGGTCAGAGTCATACATGTGTCAAGGTCAATGTGAGTTTGATATACATGAAGGCCCTGGCCTAAAAGAGGTTGAGTCTTAATATGAAGTTAATCCATTCATTGAAAACAAAGTTTTTTGCCAGTTACAGAAAAAAAACAAGAGAATTACATGAATTTCACTTTAACATTCAAAGTCACTTTAAGGTCAAGGTCACATCAAAATTATTCAATATGTTTGTTTGGAGGCAAATTTTGTTTGTCCAATTTTAATCAAATCCATACATAAATTACAAAATTAAGACAATTTACCCAATTTTATCTTGACTGTCAACAACAGCAAGGTCAGTTCAACCTGTTTGAAAGTTTTGTCTAAAATATTGTTTTGTCAAAGTATGAATAATCCATTTATTAGTTACCAAATTACAGTCAATTAAAGCAAAAACCAGTGAAAATAAAATAATTTGATCGTCAAGGTCATACATGTGTCAAGGTCAATTTGAGTTTGATATTCATGAAGGTCCTGGCCTAAAAGATGTTGTGTCTTAATATGAAATGAATCCATTCATAGAAAATAAAGTTTTAGCCAGCTACAGAAAAAAAGACCAAGAGAATTTCATGGATTTGAACTTGACATTCAAGGTCACTTTATGGTAAAGGTCACATCAAAATTATTCAATATGTTTGTTTGGTAACAAGTTTTGTTTTGTCCAATTTAAAATCAAATCCATAAATAAATTGCAAAATTAAGACAATTTAACCAAAATTTAACAATTTTACCTTGACAGTCAAGATCATTTCAAATTCAACATCAAGGTCAGTTCAACCTGTTTGAAGGTTTTGTCCAAAATATTGTTTTGTCAAAGTACGAAGATAATCCAGTTATAAGTTACCAAATTATAATAAATTATAACAAAAATCAGTGAAAATTCAATATGACAAGGTCATAAAAGTGCCAGGATCATTTTGAGTTTGATATATGTGAAGGTCTTATCTTAAAGGATATTCTGTTGTAATATGAAATCATTCAATAATAACAAAGTTATAGCCAGTTACAGCAAACACACTGAAATTATTTCAATAACTTTACCTTCAAGGCCAAGATCATTTGTGAGTGAAGGTCAAAGTCTGTCTGGTTAATTAACAGGCCTTAGTAATAATCCTAAAAGATTATTATGTTCAAGTACAATGAAGTAAGAAGACAATCCATTCAAAAATAACAAAGTTATAGCCACTAATAGCAAAAACCAAGCAAATACACATTTGACCTTGAAGGTCAAGGTCATTTATGAATGAAGTCTGGTATGCTTAAAACACTGCATCATTAAATGGATCATGATTAGCTAATACTAATTTGAAATTATTTGGCAAATTTAAATATGGCATACTCATCATTTTTTTTTTGCAATTTTATTTATGATATTTCTTGCCAATTTTCAATTATTTTCAACATACATAATTAAGTAACAGAATCAGAATTAAATGGGTCAAAATATTAATTGATGAAAACCATTTAGTACTGCACATCTCATTTCATTCAATATTATATACATGTATATTTGATAATTTTTCGCCTTATATCTAACATATATACATTGATATGTAAGGCAGTTATATAACACAAACCTATGACTTGCTGTACATTCTTCAGACTTTCAACCACCCCCTCTGTAACTCTGTTTTCAGGATCTGAAATAGTGTTAAATTGTATCTTAAACAATGATAACATTCCTAAGAATGTTTAAATCCCTCGATGAATGGCCAAGTTATGGGCTGGACTTAAAGATATACTATGCTCATCCTTTTGGTAAAATATTTTTTTTAACTTAGAAATGCATTGAAATCCATGAAATTCTTACTGAATATGTTTAATTTGAATAAAATAATGAATAAACTATGTATGGGATGCTGCATTCCCTATTACGGGTCAAGTACAATTGGTCTTTCTTAAAAAAAAACTGCCACTTCTTTAAATGACACGATATATTCATATGGTGACCACATAAAGTGTGTAGAGTTCAAAACATATCATATCTACCTTAAATGAATTCCAAACATATTTATTTTATACATACAAAGAGACTGTGTAGCAATTATTAATATTTTTAAAAATCAAATTTGAGCATGGTATATCTTTAAAGAGAGATGGACAGACTGATTGGTGTGCAATTTATTTTGTTCAATAGAGGGCCATAGAAATACTGAATAAATTCTCATGAAAACACCCAGGTGCACAACAACACAAGTCATGCTGACAAATATTTCTGTAAAATTTCATGACTCCAGGTCAAATCCTTTTTGGGCTATGTGTAAAACAAGTTTAAAATTGCAAATATTAATTAAGTCAAGGGCAATTACTCCACATATAATGAATAAATCCATAAACAAACACCCAGTTGCACAACTTCACATGTTGTTCAACATGTCTAGAAATTGAAAGGAAATTGATTCTGGGTTAACTTTTTGGAAAGGTGCCACAAAAGTTGAAAATTATAATTTTTACTTAATCAAGGGCAATAATTATACAAATAATGGATAAATCCACAAAAAACAAGAGCAAAACTTCACAGGCTGATTAACATTTCTGTAAAGTTTCAAAACTTCAGGTCAAATACTTTTTGTGCTATGGCTGCATCACAAGATGAAAATTACAAATTTTTGACTACATCATGATCAAGGGCAATAATTCTATAAATACAAAATCAATCCACAAGCAAATCTCCAGGTGCACACCTACAAGTACTGAACAACATTCCTGTAAAGTTTCATGACCCTAGGTCAAATACTTTTTGAGCTATCTGTTACACAAGATTAAAGTTGCAAATTTTTATTTAGACAAGGGCAAAAACTCTACAAATACTGAATAGATATTCAAGAAAAACCCCAGGTGCACAACTAAACATGCTGACAAACATTTCTGTAAAGTTTTATGACTCAAGGTCAAATACTTTTTTTTGGGCTATGTGCAACACAGAATGAAAATTGCAAATTTTAACTAAGTGAAGGGCAATAACTCAACAAATACAAAATCACCACCAGGTGCATAACAAAACATATGCGGACCAATATATCTGGAACATTTCATGACTCTCAGTCCAACACTTTTTGAGCTACACGCGACACAAATTGAAAAGTGCCAATTTTTACTTAGTCAGGGGCATTAACTCTGACACAACTTAATAAATATAAAATTAAACCTCAGGTGCACAACTTCATATGCTGATCAACAGTCCTGTAATTTTTTGATACATGTGAAACAACATGATAAAAGATGGGAAGACTCACACACAGACAGACAGACACAAGGACTAAGGAGTAAATCTAAATGCCCCACCTATAGAGGGACAAAAGCATTTAACGCCAACATTACTTGTGTAAATCAAATTCAATTATATTCCAACAGGTAATTACCTTAAACTGAACAAAAGAAGATTTTTCTGACATCTCATGAAATAAAATGCTACTTCCAGCTTCAGACACAAGAGCTGAAAAAATGAATATTATAACACTTTATTTTTTTTCTTAATAACTTGTATGAAAGCAAATGCTTCAGTTACATGTAAACATATAGACAGCACAAGTTTTAATAGATTCATTTAAACTTAACATAATCTTTAAATTTGATTATGGAAAATTTTACTTATTTCAAGAGCTAGTAATTCACAAGGAAGGTTAGCATAGCATTAGGTTGTATTCCTATGGCCTTTTATGCAGCTGACTTTCTGGAGTGATTGCACAAAATCTTGTCATTTAAAGCAAAAATACTATTTAGAAAAACATATTGACAATACTATTTAGAAAAACATATTGACAGCTATTTTAGATTGAAAGTGCTTGGTATTGTGCAATCATCTGAAATGATACAGAAAAAATAATGAAAGTTGTTATATATAGTGTATATTTTCAAATATATATTCACATCATACATGGCCTCAACAGAAAAACAGATAAAACTTGGATCAGTGCTATTAATCAGTGTTGTCATTTTTAATTTTTTGTTTAAATGTCAAAGATTTCAACTTACTGGATGTCAAATGACAATACTGTTCTCAGGTTACATTTTCCATACTTAATGGGCTCTTTAAATTCAGAGCAAACTGACTGTCAACCAGAACAACCTTCACCTTCCTTTCTATGGAATTTAAGCTGATCCCCTTGCTTTTCTACAATATTTACAAAACAAATGGATTTGTAATTATTACAATATTATAGACATTGAAATATGTATTTCTTTTTAAAACAGCATATATTTAGTTTTTTATACAAATATTCTGTTCAAATCAGCTGAAATAAGTGACTTATTTTGAACATAAAACAGTCTGTTTGCATTTTAAGCAAAACATTTTTCAAATTTTCATAAAATATTGACATGTTTGTGGAAAAGAATGTAGGACAAGCTGTAAGTAAATTTACACATAGTATTTGTGACATAGCATGTTAATAATCCCCCGCCGATGGAATCGGGAGGGGGATATTGTTTTGGTGTTGTCTGTCCTTCTGTCCGTCCGTCCGAATTTCGTTTCCGGGCTAGTTCTCTGCAACTACTGGCTGGAATTTCAACAAAACTTTATGGAAATCATCAATATCAAGAGAGATGCGCATATTGTCAGCTTGTTCCGGTCAGACCCTTTAACTCAGAGTTATGGCCCTTGATTAGTTATGCATTATGCATATAGAGTAAAAATCGTTTCCGCGCTCCTTCTCTACAACTACTGGCTAAAATTCAACGACACTTTATGGGCACTTTCAATACCAAGAGGAGATGCGCATATAGTCCCCTTGTTTTGGTCAGAAACTTTAACTCAGAGTTATGGCCCTTGATTAGTTATGCAGTATGCATATAGAGCAAAAATTGTTCCTTCACTACTTCTCTGCAACTACTGGCTGGAATTCAACAAAACTTTATGGGAACCTTCAATACCAAGAGGAGATGCGCATATCATCAGCTTGTTCCGGTTAGACACTTTAACTCAGAGTTATGGCCCTTGATAAGTTATGCAGTATGCAACCAGAGCAATAATGATTTCCCTGCTACTTCTTTGTAACTACTGGCTGGGATTCAACAAAACTTTATGGAAACCTTCAATACCAAGAGGAGATGTGCATATAGTCGCCTTGTTCTGGTCAGACACTTTAACTGAGTTTTGGCCCTTGATTAGTTATGCAGTATGCATATAGAACAATATTTGTTTCCGCGCTACTTCTCTGCAACTACTGGCTGGAATTCAATGAAACTTTATGGATCAGGGAACCTTCAATACCAAGAGGAGATGCGCAAATCGTCGCCTTGTTCCAGTCAGACACTTTAACTCAGAGTTATGGCCCTTGATTAGTTATGCAATATGCAAATTGAACAATATTCGTTTCTGCGCTACTTCTCTGCAACTACTGGCTGGAATTCAACAAAAGTTTATTGGAATCATCAATATCAAGAGGAGATGCGCATATAGTTGGCTTGTTCTGGTCAGACACTTTAACTCAAGAGTTATGGCCCTTGATTACTTGTGCAGTATGCATATAGAGCGAACTTTATTGGAACCTTCAATACAAAGAGGAGATACGCATATCAATGCCTTGTTCCTGTCAGACACTTTAACTCATTATAATGGCCCTTGATTAGTTATGCAGTAGGCATATAGAATAATAATTGTTTCCGCGCGACTTCTCTACAACTACTGGCTGGAATTCAATTAATCTTTATGGGAACCATTAATACCAAGAGGAGATGTGCATATTGTTGCCTTGTTGAAGTTGTTCAGACCAGACCCTTCATTACAGAGTTATGGCCCTTGATTAGTTATGTAGTATGCATATAGAGCAATATTGCTATTTCGTTGCAACTGCTGTATTGATTTCAACAAAACTTCATGGCAACCATGGGTACACAAAGGCAATTTACATCTCATTGGCATGTCCAGATATTATTATTACTATTTAACACAGAGTTATGGCTCTGTTACTTCCCTGAATATTTATCAAGTACAAAGAATATTACTGTTTATGCCATGATAAATATATAAATAAAGCCTTATGTCTTCAGTTGTTGTGTTAGTAATAACCAGTACTCTGCGGGGGATATAAATTCAACTAATTTGCTTGTTTAACCTATAACTGCCAATGTGTGGTGGTGGTGGAAGTTTGTACTCCGGATCACGGCAGTAAGCCACACTGAATTTACCAGAGCACAGTACAGCCACTGTATCGTTCCTGGGCAGGCTGTCAAGCAGTTTACCAGTACTAGTTGCCTCCACTTTCGAAAGGAACTGAAACTGCTGTACATGCCAGAGCAGAGGTGACAGTACGAATGACCACAGAAAAGATTTCACTGCCAATGTGTGTGTATTTGAGTTTATTTATACTCGCCACCAGTTGCCCATATGGGAGAGTCCTCCAGAAGAGTATTAGTCATTCTATATTTTGAAGGATAGTGCAAGCTACAGAAAGATGCCCCATTTCCAGAAGCTTCTCCTTGTTCTTTAACATGCCAATTCGTGTTTAAGCACAACGGCACGGGACCTTAATTTAAAGTCTTATCTGAATGACTGATTACTAATTTTAGTTGGCTAGCCCGGGAATCAAACCCACAATGTTAAGTGCTCTAACCAAATGAGCTATGCAGGCTGGCTATAACTGCCAAGACTGAATTGTAAACAATATAAAATGTGACAGGTGACACATGCATATTATGTCACCTTATTAGCAATACAATATTTATAAATCCGCAATCATCCAAAATATGGACAGTAAACAATCAATGCTGGAGGCATGATACAGGTGCTGTGTTTAGTTTTTATATCAACATTTTTTAAATCAGGACTTCAGGGTCGAAATTTTGTTTTAAATCCCTTCCAGATATCACTTGTAAAAGTTCATATTTTTGTGTGCAACATAATCTTATACATGTAAATTTTATCAAATGGTAAATAATAAAATGAGAAAAAGGACGTGTGGAACCTGTATTCACAAGATACCTGTAGGATACCTGTAGGATGATTCTGGGCTCTGATGGAAGGGCCAAGCCCTTTTTAAGCCCCTCTTCTTTTGACAATCTTTCACTACTTCTTCTTATTGCTCTCACCACTTCTATGTTTAATTATATATACTTATATCTATTTCTGGTCACTCTGCTGTATAATTTTAACAGCATAATTTTTCAATAAACATTTTAAACTTTATATGGAGTGTCTCCGGTCCAGTGTTGGTCTAGTTTTATTTTAAATTCATTAACACTTTTTGAGTCTACTACATTTTTTGGCAAATTATTCCATGTTTTAATCACACGTCTTGAAAACCGATTTAGGCAATGAGTTGTTCTACTACGAGGCATTTCTAGTTTTAAATTATGTCCCCTTGTTGATGCCGAATAACTAAAAAAAATACCAAAAACACAGTCATCTAAGCCTTTTACTATTTTGAAAGTCTGAATCATGTCCCCTCATATTAAATCTGCGATGTATTAGACTTGGCAGTTTAAGCTTTTTAAGACGGTCAATATATGTCAGATCTTTTAATGATGAAACTAGTTTTGTTGCTCTTTGTTTAAGTTTTTCTAGACTTGATATATCTTTTATTAAATATGGATTCCACACAACATTTGCAAATTCAACATGAGGACGAATCAAAGCTGTATACAATTTCACAAAGGTGTATTCATCTAAAAATCCAAAAGACCAGTTAATAAGGCCTAAAATACTATTTGCCTTATTAATCTTAGTAGAAATGTTTGCTAAATTTAAGATCTTTCTCAAAAATAACTCCTAGATCACATTCTTCTTGAGTATCCGATAAAGTCTTGTTATTCATAACATACTGAGATGTCACAATCAAAATTTAAAATGCTTGTGCTTTTAACTGTTTTGATTTATTATATCATATTCAATGTTCTGTGTGTTTGTTTGCAATGATTGATAAATGTCTCAGTTACAACAGTCAAGTTTTTATGATAAGCGGTATCCGAAAAGCATTATCCGAAATATACTGTATTTCTTGTTACATATCAGGCTCCATTGTTAATGAAATGATCCTGTATTACTACATTTTTTATCTGTGGTAATGCTCAGGAATTCAACTTGGATTTGGTTATATCATTTGTTTCGTTTCTTCGTTTCGTTTCTTAGTTGCATACTAAATCAGTCATGTCAGTGCTTTTATTAATACAGACTAATACAGTAGAGTCTAGTATAGTTGATCAAATAAAAAATGAAATAAAAGCTATTGTCATAACTAATAAATGTGAACAATGTAAAATTTTCGTGAGCTACTTACCATTTGACTCAAACTCGAAACTTTCTATCTTTGTTGTCCCCAACGCATTTGAGCTTTAAAAAATGGCGGATTATGTACAATGAGTCAAGGTGCGCGACTCTAATTTCATTGGTTATTGCCTACCGCTTCTTTTGTTAGCGCTAGTAGCACTAACAGAAACATACTGTAGTATGAAAAGGCGTCTTTTGTTAGTGCTAGTAGCAGCCTAATAAGTCTAATAAAAATGTGCTAGTAGCAGCTAACAAAACAGAATCGGGTGCTTGTTTTTGTATTTTCAGATTAGAAGATTGTATGTATTTATACTAAATTTTATACATTTAGTGAAAACCTATGATCACCAGGTTTGTGGCCAATTTTTATGCAAGAGGCAAATTTTGAACAACTCTGGAAAAGGATCTATAGATGATATAATATCTTGGTCTTGTACTTTAAAACAAGAAAATTTTTTTTTTTAATTTTTTTTTTTTTACTTTTTTTTCTTTTGCCCTGTGCTCTGCTTATGCATCAGACCGGGACAATTTGAACACAAAAAGTTGGCTACCCAAGTGGTTTGTGGTTAACTTGCAATCATTGGTTACAGAGGAGACGTTGTTTAAAATAATTATAAATAATGAATAGCTCACGACGACGGTAGACGAAAATGATTAATGAAATTTAGTTACTTATTTTGCGATAAATGACATGTTTATATATAATGTAGCCGTGGTTCAGCAACATAAGCGTTAGGATATTTTTGTCAAATGTTGTAATGAGTATGTGTTGCATATTTTAACACATTTTCTTACCTTAAGTCGATACGAATGCTTAATGGGATAAGCTTACATTATCAATAACTATAATTTAAACATAAAATAGTTCATCCTTTCGAGGACTACAACAAGTTGAATCATTAGTTTTTTATTAGATATGAGATATATCTACGAAATAGATATCAATTCTGAGTGCATTGTTTTAGAATAATGTAAGGTTTGAGTTCAAATGCGCAGTAATATAATCACGAAGGTCAATAGGCCTGAGTGATTAATAACAAAGCATTTGAACGAAAATCGTGCATTATTATACAATAATGCACGACGAATAAATATCTATTTCCATTCTAACACGTCAAGAAAAAAATATAATTATTATTATAAAGTTGGACTTTATATTTGGTGGTCAAATTTGTTTTCGCCTCACAGTTTCAAATAGATACGCTCTTTAAAGGCTGTTCCAGTGGGTTGAACGTCGATTAACGACTGAATTAAGGATAATGGTGTTCGGACTCATTTTAGTAACTATTTTATTTCATTCTAGATAGTTTTCACAACAAAATTCGACAAAGAATTGTTTTTCATTTATCAGATTTTTCAAACAAAATGGCGCCCTCAATGTGAAAATACACAGGGAGATAATAAGAACGGCGAGTGCATTGTAATAGAATAATGCATGCTTCGAAGCTTTCTTTTTTGTATAGAAAAAATATCTGATAGTGTGAGATTGTATAGTGATGCATTTAACTGAATTTATTTTTTAAGCATATAATATTTCACCTCGCAAATGAATATAATGAAAAAGGTAAAAAAAGCATTTTCCATTATATTGCAATGTCCATGATAACCATGAATTAAAGCTGTATGTTTGTTATCTAAATGGGTGTCTCTTGGCCCTGTCTTTCTAGATGCTGGCCGAAGCTGTGTTACGCCACCGTTGCTTTCCCTTGTTGAACTTGGTGTTAATATATTTAAATATTTAAACCCGTAAATGATTTCTTATCACTTTTTTTATTTTTGTATCACTTCTTAATTCCAAATCTTATACTACTAATTTTTCCGGTAATAATTTATTTATACGTTTAACATGCAAACAAGCAAAGAATAAAGTTTAAATTGGCAATCCAACATATCTGCAAGTTAGGTATTGATAATTACCTATTAAAGCTGAAAGTTAAATTAAAAGCAAAATGCTAGACCAATATTATGATTGCTTACATGCAATTTCATCATCATATAGTGTTAATGTATGCCCCACCTTTTAATGTTTAAACATATTTTTACGTAATATGAATTTACTATCTGTAACGTCATTTGAGTAAAGATCTGGAGAAAGAGTGATCCCTCGAAAACATTAACGACAACAAAATAACATTAAAATTGCAGACTCAGTTTAATTTGGATTTGTACATGAAGAATATTGAAAACGTGCAACATCTCTCACGCCCCATTGCACTGGTTTTAGCGGTACGAGCGGTACTCAATGTTCAACACTTAATATTGCTTAAATGATCCCGAAGAACCAGAGTCATATGACAAAAAACAAACAAGAACTAATATCAACATGGCAAAGGCATCATTCATAGGACGCAGCCCCCCCCCACACACACACACAAGTAGGGCACACAGAAGGCACTAAATTGAAGAACGGGGCAACCTTTACAGCTTCCACACATCACATAACACATATATTCCTCAGTATTATCTAGCCGTGAGGATGTTATAGAAATAATGTATATGTATAAAGAAATGAATATATGTCCATATGTTGATACTTTTAATCCTTCTAATAAGGGTTAATATGGTACTACATTATTATAAGTATTTTGGTAAGCTAGATTAAATGTTATAACGACAATTAAGCAATGTTATTATAAACTTTTACGTTCAAACTGACTAAATATGTTATATTTAATGTTCACCGGATATTTATACATGAATGTAAAGATGACTTAATGTAATGTTACTTTAAAAAGTAATTCGTTTTATTCGCTTTCGACTTCTTATAAATCAGGAGCGATATGTTTTGCAATATTTCAGTAATTTTATTAATTCTCTTTTATAAGTATGCTAGAATGGAAGAATATATTCATTTTTCTTGCGTTGTAGTATAAAAACACACGGTTTGTTGTTCAAATGCTTTGATATTAATCTTTCAGTCCTATCGGCCTCCGTGATTATATTCCTACTCATTTGAAATCGAACCGTGCAGTATTCTACAAGAACGCTCTGTTTCCTAAACAAAAACGTAACAAACTTGAAAGTTCGACATATTTCATATTTAATGTTCTCCGGATAATTATAAACATTTTTATGTAACGTATAACAGAAATTTGTTTAATTTGCTGGCATAGTAATTTTTCAGAATTTAGCCTCCTATATTACGCATTATCTGAAAATACAACAAATGTAAAATGAACTACACGCAGTTCAACTCAAATAAGAATACACACTACAAAAAGTACTTAAAATAGAAAATCATGTTTCTGGTATTATTGAAAATGAAAGTTCTTGTCGTCCAACATCGTGCTTGTGAAAACTCACATCAAACCGCATTGTACTGTTCAAGTTCAAATTGAATGAAAAGAAACATTGTTACTGTGTATTGTTGTTAAACAAGGATTTCCCATATGACTTACCAAATTTAATAAATATTACTAAATATAAAAAGTTCAGCGGTGTGATACTGATATCAAATTCTTGTTTTACATTTTCTCTTATTTAAGAATATGTAACGAGGTAAAATCCAATTACATATAACTAGGGAATATGTTTTAGATCCATCTTGTGTAGTAATTGGTGAAATGAGATCGGATTTAAAAACACATCACCAACCTGAACTTAATCTAAATTTATGATCCATTCACTTGGATACTAGTGGATACTAGATACAAAATGTACATGTATTAGTTTATTTATACCAAACATAATTTCTGACATTTTAAATAATACATTTCTCATTTTTGCTCCCCGATATTCTAAACAGTCTATCTACTATAAGTGTACGATTTTGCACCATTCACGTCTAATGTAATGTTATATTCGTAAATTTAACGTCGGGAAGTCTATAGCTTCATACTTACCTAACTTACAGATACAAAACCATTATCCAGATTGTGTCGGCAATTTGTTAATACATTTGATGTAAGTTAATACCGTCATGTCTTGTGTAGCCTTATAAAAGAATAAGGGGTGTGTCATACTATTCCCATAAACATTTGCTTGTTGTGTTTTGACCTTCTTCACATTTCTTTGAACTTTGAACTTGGTATTCTATAAATATTAAATATAGTTTGTCTTTATTTAAATACAGTATCCGTCTGCGATTTTAATATGCATGTGTATATGGCAAAATTAACAGCAATTCTTGAACAGATATGTTCTGATAGTCCCAAAGCAAAAGTTAGATAAAATGTAAATGTACATACGAGCTACGAATTATAGTAATCCGTTATTAAAACATATAAAAAGACATAATAATCATGAATGAAACGATTAACTTCATATGTATCAAATTGGGTCCTGCTGGGCTCCTTGCCGGTGATCCTGTATTGCTGGGTCGTGTGGGGGTTGCGTTCATTGAACGCCGCATTTTCATGGTGAGCTTGTTTGTTTGTTTTCTGTTGTTGTTGTTTTTTTTGTTTGTTTTTTTTTGCTTATCTGCTGTTGTATTATTGTAATTATATTAACGGCTTTTTTTACAAAAAGTTGGCAGTTCTTTTCATTCATATTTAATATCCGATTACAGAACACTATACCAGATCCGGAAATTATCGTAACAACTATATTTATGAAAAGATTGTTGTGTAAGTTTTATTATCATAGTGACATATTATTATATATGCAAAGATTTATTTACATAAATTGAGATTTATATATCCTTCGACTAGCGCACTGTATCATA